GGAGGCATGAAGTAGCGGGTTGTAAGTCCGCTAAGTCTATCTCACATATACAACACCGCGACACCTGTGTCCCTGCAGGCACTCCGCATAAGGAATGAGTTGGTGGGACATCACACAGGTCCTGGTCGTCCGGATCCAAGTTGTCGAAACAGTCCTGACACAAATAACCCCTGTCTAATTGGTAGACGGGGCGTATTAACTGAACGCAGAGGCAAGACTGAACCTCCTCTTCCGCTTCCAGATCGACTGCGGGTGCGGGTCCGTCTGGATTGTTAGGGTTGACAAGTTCACCACCAGTTCTGTACACACATACAAAAATAGTTAATGCATTTGTATTATATATTCTCCCCCTTTTTTCTTTGTACGAATACTATATCCCTGTATATAATATATATAATATGTTATAATTATGTTAGTTGTTATTTATTATATATATTTTCTTTAACTCTCTCCCCTTCCCTTGTTTTTTTTTTTATTAGTAGCTAACATTGCTGTTATGGTGCTGTATTACATGATATTGGCTATTATTTGTGTGAGGTGCGTACGTGTGGGGTACGCGCGACGAATTTTCAACATGGTCGCTCGCGTGTATCTTTGGTATGGCGTTGGTTTAATGTCAACAGTAGCGTGTTGTTGAAATAGCTAACTAATTGTTAATCACTATAATTTTATTTAGTAGTGTTTCTGTAATATTGTTTTGTGTTTCATGATATTGTGTGTGTCAATACCGTGTGCTACTTTAATGTGATAGCATTTATTGTGTTGTTATCGAATTTCAATAGTCATTGTTTTGATTATACGTGACTTGCTTTAGTCTTGTTTAATTTAGTTAATGTTTTGTGTATTGTGTTACCAGTTATTTTGTGTAGCATAACTTCATTCTTTTGCACCGAGTTTAGTCACATCTTGTTGTTAATATCTAGTTAGTCTATTTTGATTAATTTCTAACCCATTTCTGTGTTTATTAACCTTTCTTATTTTCCCTATTAATTTATTATTGCTTGTACTTGCTATTTGTTATTATTTTATGCATGATATGAATTAGTTCCCTTATTAGTGGTTAAATTTTATTTGTTAGATTGACATTGCAATTTCTATGTTTATTAACCTTTCTCATTTTCCCTATTAATTTATTATTGCTTGTACTTGCTATTTGTTATTATTTTATGTATGATATGAATTAGTTCCCTTATTAATGTAGTATCGTGGACGAAAGGCCTAAGAGATATCGGGCGAACCATAAACAATGTCGCGAGAGCCGAGGCACCGTCGGGCCCATCAAAGTGTCGTCGGTCTTTTCAAGTGCATAGTTCGTAGAAAAGACCTACGTG